CTGCCAGCCAGGAAGAGAGGCTTCGTGAGAATCCAACTGCTGGCACCCTGATCTCAGGACTTCTACTTCCAAAATCTGAGAAAATAAATTTGTTATTTAAGCCACCCAGTCCATGGTATTTGGTTACAGCAGCCTGAGCTGACTAAGACATGGGCTACCTCCTAAAAAATCTCCCATATTAAAACATCCATGTGTGTGTGTCTGCTGGTGAAAGGGAACAGGGGAACCCCTTCTCCTTCTACCTTCAATCTTTCTCAGCATCAGGGTCTTTTCCAGTTAGGCAGTTCTTCACATCAGATGGCCAAAGTATTCTAGCTTCAGCTTCAGCATCAGTCCTTCCAATATTCAACACTGGTTTCCTTTAGGATTGACTGGGTTGATCTCCTTGCAGTCTGAGTGCTTCTTCAACATCACAGTTCAAAAGTATCAGTTCTTCAGCACTCAGCTTTCTTTATGATCCAACTCTCACATCCGTACATGACTACTGGAAAAACCATAGCTTCGACTAGACGCAACTTTGTCGGCCAAGTAATGTCTGCTGCTGTCCCCAACTCCTTCCTGTCCAGCTTCCACTCCAGATGCTCCTTGGGAAAGCTCAGCAAAGATCCTAGAACTCACATTAGCACTAGAAGGAAACCTGGAGACGTCCCCGTCAAGCCTGTCATCTGACAGACAGGGACACGGAGGTCCTGAGAAATAACGGGACTTGCTTAGTCTTTCCCAGTTTGCAGATGAGCCAGAATGAGTCCCCAGGGCCCCAGGCCCAGCCCCAGCTGCCACCCTATTTGACCGTCCCTCAGAAGACATTCTACCTGAGCAAAAAGGGCTAGCTGCCCCCTGGAGCACACGGGTCCTCTGAGGAGCCCTCGCCAATGAAGAGAGGTGACGCATTAAACCCACGACAGCCCCAGGAAGGGACGGGAAGGCCGTGTCACCCCTTCTTTCAATGGCGTGCTCTCTTGCTCTGACTAACCAACACTTGGGGGCGGGGGTGACAGACAGTCTGAGGTAACACACGTCAACTACTGAAGACTGTCCTCCAGAAAGGGCCTCTAGAATCGCTCTAACAAAACCGGCTAAGAACCGCAAGGCTGAGTGCTTACTGTGGTGTGTTAAAGACCACCCACACCCCAGTCGTGTTTGTAGCAGAGCAAAAAAGCCCACTGCAATGCCTCACAACTATTTGAAATAAGCTGTTGAGTGAACGTCTCCCTAACTGCTCCCAAGAACATCAAAGCTCTGTGAAATGTTCATAGAATTTCATTAAAAAAAAAAAGCTACAGTATTTAAGATTTATTTTATAAACATGTAAGAAAAGTTCTACATTATTGCTTGTCAGATTACACAACAATAGTCTGCCCTGAAGCCAGTATGCTGTTCTCAAGATCTAAGACATTCTGTCCTTTTAGTTCTTAAAAAGAAAAAAAGTGGGTTGACTTCTAGTTTACTTCTTGTTATGTTAGATTTAAAAGTAAAGACTTATACATCAACTTATTTGGGCAGCAATTAATTAATCTGTGAAGCTGTCATTTTCTGTTAACCTTCATCCAAACTGCCTGTTAGCATTTCACTCTAACTCTTGAAACTGCCCAGCCTGACGGCAGGAAGGCTACTGTTGGCAAAAGGACCGTAGACAGGAACGAGCTGTTTCTCTGTGCCCTCTTTGGGCTACTGTCACTTCCTTACCCCTTGGAGCGGATGCTAAGAAGTGGCCGAGCTGTCTCTTTGAGGCCTCTCTTCCACCTACCCGCTTCCCTTCCTGAAGTCCTCGATGCAGATGAATGCTTTCTAAAAAATATTCTAGACTAGCTACATGACTCTTCAGCAAATTCTATATAAAGCCAGGGAAGCTTCAGCTCATATATAGCCAGATCATTAAGATTTGAATTTCACGAGACCTCCTTAATGAGATTCTTATGAGAGTGCAATTTATGCACTTGTGGATAATGTTCCTCTTTTTTGAATCCAGTAGTCTGGACTTGGGTGAACTCCATGAGGTGGTGAGGGACAGGGAGGCCTTGCATGCTGCAGCTCATGGACTCACAAAGTCGGACACAACTGGGCGACTGAAAAACAGCAGGTCTTGGCTAGAAGCAGACCAGCCTGCAGACAAAAATGCCAGAGCTTGGTTGGGTTTCCACAATTTATTCATTTTCCCAAACACTCTTCAGGCATCACTCTGGAGTGACCTGGTAGGAGGAATGGAGATCAGAACATGAAGATGCCTGTTCATCAGAGGCTGCTAGAGGGGAAAACAAAACATTATGTGTTGCATGTACAAGGCAGAACCATGAGGACTGGCCTGTAAGACAGGGCCAGGCCTTCAGAGAATGGAGCTGTCCCTTGTGAAGCTGGGGATTTACACAGTCAGCCTCGTGTAGGGGGGACCTGCCAGGTGCCAGGCATGGAACCCGGATGGGGGACCCCCATGAACAAGCCGGATATGGCCCTGCTCTCACGGAGCTCACAGTCTAGCAAAAAAATAAATAGGAAGAGGGAACTGTGATGCAGTGTACAGGTGTGCTGGCTTTGGGGGGTAGGTACAGAAATCCGGTATTACATACATATTGCATTTAAGCAAACACAATGGTATTTGTCTGAAAAAGTTAGGGAGGGGAAAAAAAAAGATGAGGAAAGCAATTTTAAGTTATTTGGGTCACAGAGGATGAGATGGTTGGATAGCATCACCAATTCAACGGACATGAACTTGGGCAAACTCCAGGAGATGGTGAGGGACAGGGAGACCTAGTGTGCCGCAGTCCATGGAGTCAAAAAGAGTCAGACACGACTTGGCGACTGAACGCCTGTCCCTCCATCCCCTGAGCAGGCAGGCAGGAGGGTCTGAGGCAAGCTCAAGCCCCTGCTGCTCCTGGGGCCTGTCTCAGGTCCCCAGGGCCTCTTCAAAAGTGAGTGGCTCGCCTGAGTGTGAGTCTAACACCTGCAGTTTGCACAACACAGCCCAAATTGCAGGTCCATCACTTCTCCTGGGGCTCAACCAAAGAAAACTGAGACCTGTTCCCACACGGGCAGGAAGCAGTGGCACTGGGCCTCGTGATCAGCAGGTACCTTCCTCGGGGTTTTGGAGAGGAATTTTTATTACGCTCCATTTTTATCCCAGGCGTGACTTTACACCCTGATCCTGGAACTTAACGAGACTCCTGCATGGCAGCGTCATGGGACACATAACTCAGTTCTGGACGTTACAGGATGCAAATTACATCCCAGCTGCAGTGTTCAGAATGGAGAAAGACAGGGAGAGGAAGCAGGAAAGAGGCTGCCACATGGGGTGGAGAAGGAGACAGTGGCCGAACTGAGGCGAGGCACTCACGGGCTCAGACTGGAGATGGCCAGGGGAGGAGAGGTCCCATCCGGCGGCAGGCTCCACCAGCTGTCCTGGGTAGCTGGTACCTCTCCCAAGAGGGAGAGTGGAAAAGAGAAATGAGGTATCTGCAATTACCATCTAGCAGCAAAAATGTATCTAAAATCCCACATTGCGTCAAGACTAAAATGAATAGAGAGCAGTGTGTAGCCCTGCCGCCCTCATACACGAGGAACACCCTGGGCTGCTGGCCAGGGACAGTCCCGACTGTCCATCCTCACTCCCCAGCGCCCAAGGAAGGGCCTGGGCATCCAGAGCATGTGTCAGATGCTGCACCATCTGAGTGCTAAGTAAGAGTGTGGGCTCGACGGTGAGAGGCTAAGGCCCATAACCTTGGGAAATACATCTTTAAAATGTAAAGATTTTACAGCTTCCCAGGTAGCTCAGCCAGTAAAGAATCCGCCTGTAGTACAAGAGATCCCGGTTCAACTCCTGGGTCGGGAAGCTCCCCTGGAGAGGGGATGGGCGACCCACTCCAGTGTTCTTGGGCTTCTCTGGTGGCTCAGCTGGTAAAGAGTCCGCCCGCAGTGAGGCCTGGGTTCAATCCCTGGGTTGGGAAGATCCCCTAGAGGAGGGCATGACAACCCACCTTCAGTATTCTTGCCTCGACAATCCCCATGGACAGAGGAGCCTGGTGGGTTACAGTCCATGGGGTCACAAAGGGTTGGACACGACTGAGCACAAAAGTAATTTTCCGGGCTCTGCATGTCTGTGAGAACTGCAAGGCTACTGAAGTGGGTGCTCTTGGTTAGGTCAGCCTCCACTAGACACTACCCAGCTTCCTGAAAGTCGGCCTTGATCTCTAGCAGAGTGGTGAGGGTGGTAAGGCCCTGGGACAGATGGGCCTGAACTGCTGGTGGGAGGGGGTCCAGACTGGGAAACACAAGAAGTGTAAGAAGGGGCATTTTCTGAACAAACATTGCAGAGAGCACATCAGAGGGGACCCTGGCCCCACGGACACCTCACTAGAGGACCCAGAGGCTGGAATGGGATGAGGTTAAGTCCCACCCACAACCTCATGCACACCCTCGGTTGTCTCCTTGACCTTCCCCCAGCCTGCCACAGACACTGGTGCTGGCCAGCCCGCAGCAGCCACGGCTCTGGAACCAGCCCGTTCACTGGCCAGAAGGGGAAACTGAGGCCTCGGCCTACGAAACAGAGGGGCGTCTCTAACCACAGCCCCTGCACTTCTCATGTGACTAACCCCCTCAAAACCCTCCCCCGCTCTTCAAGAACCTGGTTCTCAGCTGCGTGCTTCAGAGGCAAAGAGCTGAGAAACCTCAGCGACCTTAGGTCTCAACTGGCAGAGAAACGAGAACCAGCTCTTTCCAGGAACCCTACTAGGAAGCTGAAACATATCACGGTTATACGTTCTCATCTTTCTATGGCGGGGGCGGGGAGAAGCAGGTTAACCAACAAAATACGGACAACACAGTTTTTGCTGTAACTCTCGAGTCTTCCCACCCTTCCCTTTCTTTATTAAACCACAGCATTCATTCCGCCTTCAATCACACCACAGTGCCATCAACCATTAGTGTGACCACTGGCTCAGTGGCGAGCAAAGATCTCTAGAGCCCCGAGCCACACTGGGTGCTAAACATTCCAGGCAGGTGAGGGCTTGTGACATCACACAAGGAGCAAGGGCTTTATTCTCTTTAACTCCTAAGCTCTACTGAAGTGAAGTTAAAACACTATTTTTAAGCCTGCAGAGGAATACAAACATTAAATACTTTAAAATAAAAATCAAGACAGGAAGACCAAAGAATCTAAGGCCTTTTCAAGGTTAAAATAATCTGAAAGGAGACTAGAAATAAACAAACTAAAATTTCTGTAACTATTATCTTATTTGCCAGTTTTGAAGATGTCCTCAGGTGCCAGAACGTGGGAGACAGAAAGAATATGTAGCAGTGCATCACTTCTGAAGTGATCATAGACAACAGATTCCCATCTCAGGGGGTAGGTTTTCCTGATTTCAGTGGAACAACTTAAACTCTATGTATAACAGACAGACTCTACAGTTAGGATCCTCTAAAAATGAGACGCCTCTCTTTGCCTTCTTCCAAAGTATATAATATATATTTAACAGCACATAAGACACCACTTGAGCTTCCCTGGAGGCCAACAGGAAGTATTTTCACATATAAAAATTAAAAATTTAAACTTTCAAATCATCAATATTTTTTAAACATAATACAGACTTACAAATTGTTCAACATTAACCCATGACCCCACCCCTAGCACGAAAATCCACCCCAAATCCAGAAGTCACAGTTTTTTGTTCCTAAAAACCCCACAGCACTGAACTTGATCCTCACTTCAAGCTGATTGCTAACGAGGCTCCTGACAGAGATCCCCGGGGAGGAACGAAGGGCGGTCGGGGCTGCGGCTCTGATCTACCCGGGCGGCACAGCTGCACCTCTGAGGTCAGGTCCATGTGAGTCAGGCCCCACGCCAGAATCCTGGAAGGGTGAGCTGGCAGCTTCCCCAGTCTTTTCCTCTCGAAGGCTGTCCGATAAGCACCTGGGAATTGACTTTTCTTGGAAAAAGGGTGCTGGTAAAGCTGTCAGGGCCAAGGCAATAGTGAGAAGTTCAGTTCTCTGCTCTTTGGATGAACTGTGTAAAACTTTTCTCTTAAAAGACATAATGTTAAAAATATTACGAAAAAAATGTCTACAAAATCTGGAGGGCTGCCTTTTCCTCAATGGGTAAAGCTTGTGGGGTGGTGGGAAAAGAATGGAGGGCCCAGAATTGTAACTCTGCAGCAAAAAGATTAGATGGATGCCCTTCAAAACAGGTCACGTTTCCTAACACGTCTTGCTGAAGTAGCAAGAGCGGAGGGTGACTGCATGAGCAAGAGGGGAGGGGCGCCAACTCCCGAGGGGGGGTCCTACTGTGCGCCCCGCCCTACGCAAGACTGTCAGGTTTCAGGGTGGCCGCCTCGGCCCCCAGGGCATCAGGACTCAGCCTCTGAGCCAGAGCTGCTTTCCCGACTGACTTCGATCTGGAGAGATGGCAAGTTATCTAAGCGGCTCTTCTTTTGGCGAGACTGTTCCTTCTCCTTAATCAGAGCCCCCCATGCCCTCTGCAGCTCCGAGTCATCTTCCTCTGTGCCCGGCGCCCTGTGATCCCCTTTCTTCATGTTCTTTTCTTTGGTCTTGGGTGCAGATCCTAAGCGAGTCCATAAACTACCTGTGTGGGTGAGAAGGCATTTCAGCTCTGGCAGTCGATGCTGAGCAGGGGCAATGCAAGCCCTCATGTGCAGGCAACACTGGGGGTTGGGGCTTCTGGGGCACTTCCTGGGGGTTCAGGGAGCAGTGCTGGGCAGGTCCGCCCAGTTCCCTGCCGGCAGACTGAGGGAACTGGATCTGCCGAGAGATCCTCCCAGCTCGGGGACATGCCCTCCCCGCCTCCCCCCCCCTCCCCGACACATCAGAATGAGCTGGGAGCCTGTGTTCCCTCTGCCCCTGTCTGCTGAGACAACCTCTGTGTACAACTGCTTTCTGCCAGGAGTGGGCCATTCCCAGGCCACCCCTGCCTACAGCATGCTGCAAATTCATGGACCTGTTACGCTGTCAACTTCTGAAACGTCTACTTTCTAAAACGTTAGTATTTGACAATAGACAAATACATAGCATTTCATAGCATAGCCACATGATAAGCCAATTAAAAGTTTTATTTATAAAGGCTATAACTTATATGGAAAAATGACCATGATAAAATGCTATACGAAAAAAGTACGGTTTGTATATGGGCAAAGGTTGGAATAGCAGGAAACTGAAAAGTATTTGTGTCAAACACAAAGAATCAGGTCTGAGTCTCTTTCCTGCTTTCTACGTTTTCCACACAGTTGCCATCATCATCATCACGATGATGATTATCATGGAAGAGGGAAGACTCATTTATTCTTGTCCTGTGCTGCTCTGTCCGTGTATTAACAAAGTATTTCCATGCCACACCCATGGTCTCTACTCTTACCCCGTTCCCTCCCCAGCAGTTCCCACTGTTACCAACCTGACTTCTTCTCTCGAGTATCAGAGTAGAGGCCTTTAACATCCTGCCTGGGAACACCCAGCCTACTATGTACATCAGAAAAGGGCTCTCTCCGAACAACTGGATTACTACTGAAAGCCTTTTCTGGAGAATATGGTCTTTTTCCTAATCGCTGGCGTATATCTAGAAAAAGAAAAAAGCACTTCTGTGACCATGTGAGCATACTTTGCCATCTATACTGCCAACCTGAGATCTCTATAGGACCTGATGTCAAATCTCCCCAAGTGAGGACATGGGGCCCAGCACAACCAAGCTTCTAAAAGCCTTCCCTCTATACAGCCCAAGAAAATTCAAATGAGAACCCACAGGGGCTCACAGTAGGGGGAAACCTTGGCTGACTGCTCTAGAAAGGAATTTCTGAGGCAGAATTGTCTTTTTTTCTTTAAATAGTAGAATCAAGAGCAAATAATTAACAAACAGTGCAGCTAATGAGAAATACTGTAAGCTCCCTGAGGGCAGAAGCCCCACTCTTTGAACATATAAGAAGCTAGTCAATAAAGACTGTCACACTGAACAATAACGGTAATGAGACTAACAAAAAGCAAAAGATCAAGGGAAGCTGTCCCAAATCAAGTCTGCTTTTCCTCCAACCCCTCCGGAATCTGCCAATCCTCTGGAGCTTTCTCACAATAATGGGAACAACACAAACATTCATGAACAAGTCCCTGTGCTGGGCCTTCTCCCACCTCGCTCTGCTGAGAACAGCGCCCCCATCTTCCAGCCCCTCAGGCCTGAGCCCCACGCCTTCTTCCCCTTTCCTCCCAGTGCTGAGTCTTCCTCCTTCACAAGGCTGGACATTTTCATCAGTTCCTCCACCGTCTCTGATCTAGTTCAGGACCTTGTTACTTACTTAACTCTATGGCACCCTACACTACCACCAAGTTTTATCTAAGAGAGATATAAGATCAGGTTACTTCCCACCTCAAAGAACTAGGTTTGCTGACTGAGATCCTATTTCCTCTCAGAGGCCTCATTCCACTGCCATGTGCTCTGAGACGCCTCCCACCACAGGTGTTCCCCCAAAAGACCCACTCCCCTCTTTGCTCCCACAGCCCACTGCTCATAGTGCCTACCAGACCACTCACTCCATTCAGCTTCAGGCAGAATTACCTGAGTATGTGCCCTTATGCTGCTCCATCTGAGTCTATGATGAGCGGGCATCCCCTGTGAAGACTTATGACACCCCCAGTGCCTAGCCCTGGCACACAGCGGGTATGGCCTACTATGTGCATGTCTCCACATATAAACTAACCAGTTCAAATTCTTAAGCATTTATACAATAATTCGACCTAATTTCTATTACCCTTATGTATACCAATGACATACAGAGTAAAATCACTGTTGGGACAAAAATATCAAAAGCTGGTATTACAAAAATCTGATGAAATTTCATGCCCTCAAGTTCCAGTGCCTAACCCAAAATTTGTAACTGATGAATCAGGACAATTAAACTGGTCCCCAAATGGCAGTGTTTTATTCAAGAACCTCCCCTGTCCGCATCTNATATTAAATTGACATGAGAAACTAAAATTTAGCTTTGTTTTTGGACACATGAATGTCTCATACACACTTAAAATTTTTCTTAATTACCTGGAGGACTTTCAGCTACAGGTTTTCCATACTTACTGAAGTATCTAATTGAATCAAAATACTGTTGTTCAGTGAGCTAAAATTAGGCTATCTTTGAAAACATTTTCAAAACCACAATACTAGTATTATAGTCCCACTTTTCTATCTCTTTATAACCTTTTCTAAACTATGCTGCTTGAAAATTTCTGCTTCCCACTTGCTTTTCATGCTTTGCCAAAATCATCCTAATTTCTGTTCCTCTTAGCAGTTTGAATTATTCTGGTTGACATAAACTATTACTTACTCCATTTTATGGAAGATTTAAATGTTGTTTGATATTGAATAGTAGTAAACTGAAGGTGGCAAAAGACAGCATTTTTTTTCTCTAACAATCCTTTGTTATGACAGACATCATTCATCTAGTCCCACATTAAATAATTGCAATATGCAGTAATAAGAATTGGAAGGAGTTACATATACTGCACAGAACCTATGTCCCTACACAAGTAAACAGAGATGGATTGTTGAGGTGATCAGCTGACAGAAGATGAGTGATGAGAGGGCTCATGCTAACATTTTAGGAAGTCTCAGAATTAAGCTAATCAATAAACTTAAAATTTTATTTTTGGCAATTGTGAAAGTTGAAGAAATCGAGTAATTCTGTGTTCAGACTTTTCTTAAGGAAAACTATTTGTGAACTTACTCTTAAGAAAGGACTGTCCCTTTCTCTTGTAAGCCAAAAAGCTGCTAAGAGAGTTTTACAAGGGATTCAGGTGTTGCTGATGGTGAGAGCAAGTATTTCTTGGGAGATCCTGTTTACCATTGTATCTGCAATTCAATATTTATTTTTATGACATCATGGTCCTTTACATAGATAAGTGTGGGTTTGGATGATATTAGGAGACAGATAGTTAATACAGCAAATAATGGAAAACAACGTCACTGAAGAAATATGCCTACATATTTTTAGCCATTGATGTATGTTCTAGTGACCTGCAAATAAATGACTGGGACAAGAATGGAACAAATGGCCATGACATTCCTATGCTTGTGTGGTGCCGTGTCTGAACATGTCTGATCCAGTGCCACAGGAGTTATTACACATGTCTGCACTGCTTTATGTCACAAGCCAAGTATTCTGCCTTCTTTCACCAATCACAGTGTGGTATCTGCACTTTTAGATATTTTGCGTTTGTGAATACTTGATAAAGTCCAGATGATTTAGTCCTTTCATAGAAAAAGAAGATTTGATAGTTTTTCTCTTAAGAAATCAATTCAGGTGAAAAGAGTCCAATTTAAAGAAAAGGATTTAACTGATATGTTAAAAACATAATCACCTGTTTCTTTAGTTTTGTGTTTAGGTAATGATGGGAATCATTTAACAGCCAAAATTGCAAAGAAAAGATGATGCTGATTTTTAAATTTTGAGATATATTCTTTTGTTCAACCAAGTAATTTTACCACATAAGAAGTGAGCTATAGATCCTAAAGACACAAATTGAGGCTTTAACATCAGAGGACAATGCAAAGTTAATTTACTTGACTGCCCCTCAAAAGAAAAATTTTAATCTAGTCTTAGCAGATTGAATAGCATTGTATCACAACAATTTATCTTACTTTGAGTAAGTATTAAATTTACCTAGGCATTGGGAGGTTTTAAAAATGTACTCTCTTTAAATAACTATGTAATTATTTTCATCATCATTTAACTATAGTTTGGGGGAAATTGTAAAATGTTATTTCCAGTATTCAGTTCATTGAAAGGATGTATGTATGACATATGTAAGCTTATTTTTTCAGTGTAATATTGAACTGGTATCTGCTAAGGCTTCTACAAAGTGATAATCTATTAGATATGAAATAACTTCTTAGACAAATCATTTTTTACCTTATTCTTGTTTAAAACTTGATGACATCATGAACTCATTGAGGGAATTGGTTGTCTGTCATTATCACTCTTATGAAACTAAATTGAGACAGCAAAATGACACATTTCTCTAAGAGAATTCTAGATCCTGTTACCTGTTAAAATTACTCTTTCTTTCTTCATATTTGCCTTAGAAATTTGCAGATAGAAGTTGGGAATTCAAGCAAATATGTACTCCTAATTATGATCCTCCTAAATTCTGTCATTCTCCTGCATTGACAACGTGCATGGGAATTGGCTCTAGAGGTTGATAAATTTGGACACAGATATTACTTTTTTTTAATTTTTATTTTATTGGAGTATAGTCAATTAACATTGTTGTTAATTGTAACTAATCAGGTATACAGCCAAATGAACCACTTACATGTATACATGTATCTATTCTTTTTCAAGTTAATTTCCTATTTAGATAATTACAGAATATTGAGTACTAGATCATTGTTATTTATTTTAAATATAGAAGTGTGTACATGTCAATCCCAAACTCCCAATGTGTCACTACCCTCATCTTCCATGCCTGGTCACCATAAGTTCATTCTCTAAGTCTGTGAGTCTGTTTCTGTTTTGTAGAGTTCCTTTATATCATTTTTTTTTAGATTCCACATATACATGATGTCATATGACATTTGTCTTCCTCTGTCTGATTTAATTTACTTAGTATGATAATCTCCAGGTCCATCCATGTTACTGCAAGTGACATTGGTGGTTTAGTCGCTAAGGCATATCTGATTCTTGTGAACCCATGGAATGTAGCCTGCTAGGCTTCTCTGTCCATGGGATTTCCCAGGCAAGAATACTGGAGTGGGATGCCATTTTCCTTCTCCAAGGAATCTTCTCAACCCAGGAATCGTACCCACATCTCCTACATTGCAGGCAATCTCCTGCATTACAAACTGATTCTTTACTGACTGAGCCACTAGAGAAGCCCCTGTAAATGACATTATTTCACTCTTTAAATGACCAAGTAATAGTCCATCGTGTATATGTACCACATCTTTATCCATTCTTCTATTAATGGACATTTATAGCTTCCATATCTTGGCTATTTTAACAGCACTGAAATGCACACTGGGTTGCATGTAACCTTTTGAACTATGTCATTCTCCAGCTATATGCCCAGGAGTGGAATTGCTAGATCACATGGTAGCTCTAGTTTTAGTTTTTTAAGGACCCTTCAAATTGTTCTTCATAGTGTCTGTACCAAATTATATTCCCATAAACAGTGTAGGAGGATTCACTTTACTCCACATACTCTCCAGAATTTGTTTGTTTGTAGACTTTTTGATGATGGCCATTCTGACCTGTGTGAGATAATACCTCCCTATAGTTTTGTTTTGCATTTCTCTAATGATTAGTACTGCACTGAATATGCCAGCAAATTTGAAAAACTTGGCAGTGGCCACAGGACTGGAAAGGTCAGTTTTCATTCTGATCCCAAAGAAAAGCAATGCCAAAGAATGTTCAAACTACTGCATAATTGCACTCATCTCACATGCTAGCAAAGTAATCCTCAAAATTCTCCAAGTTAGGTTTCAACTGTATGTGAGCTGTGCACTTCCAGGCATACAGTTTGGATTTAGAAAAGGCAGAGCAACCACAAACCAAATTGACAATATCTGTTAATCATAGAAAAAGCAAGAGAATTCCAGGAAAAACATCTACTTCTGCTTCATTGACTACGTTAAAACTTTTGACTGTGTGGATCACAACAAACTATGGAAAATTCTTCAAGAGATGGGAATACCAGACCACCTTGCCAGCATCCTGAGAAATCCGTATGTAGGTCAAGAAGCAACAGTTAAAACTGGACATGGAGCAACAGACTGGTTTCAAATTGGGAAAGAAGTACATCAAGACTGTATATTGTCACCCTGCTTATTTAACTTATATGCAGAGTACATCATGAGACATGCTGGGCTGGAGGAAGCACAAGCTGGAATCAAGATTTCTTTTGAACTGTGGTGTTGGAGAAGACTCTTGAGAGTCCCTTGGACTGCAAGGAGATCCAACCAGTCCATCCTAAATGAAATCAATCCTGAATATTCATTGGAAGAACTGATGCTGAAGCTGAGTCTCCAATTCTTTGGCCACCTGACACAAAGAGATGGCTCATTGGAAAAGACCCTGATGCTGGGGAAGATTGAAGACAAAAGGAGAAGGGAACGACAGAGGACAAGATTGTTGGATGGCATCACTGAC